ATCCATGTTTTAGGCATATTTCTGAAAGTGGCCTCATTTTCAGCAGCTTCTCCTCCCCCAGCCCAGATGTTACATGGGTTGGAAATGACAGTCAAAGATGCAATTACTGTTCTGCATGGTCTCTGCTGTGACTTCAAGCCAAGCACAAGCCGCACATCCCAGATACCATCTACTCCTCACCATTGATGGATGCTCCCAAAATGCAGCCAAGTGGCTCTAGTCAGTCTCTGGTGGACTGACTCCATGCCTGGTCTGCATGCTTGGTCCTCTCCCGCTGCAGCTTGATCTCCTTCCCCAGGATCCGGGGAGGCTCTTGCAGGCGGTGCGGCTTCCCCCTGGCACATGCTGACTACTGGGCTGTCTGGAGGCAGCAGTCACCTCACGAGTTACAAGGACAGAGGCTGCATCTGAAAACTGAAGAGTGGTTTGCAAGCCCTCCCTGGTCTGTAAGACAAGGGACCTCCCCTTCACGCTGGTGCCACAAACAGGTCCTTTGGTGTTTCATCCCCTGGTGAGAGGGAGAATTGGGGGACTTGAAAGTGAGCCAGCTCTTAAGGAGGACCATGGAGGAAGATGCCTCAGTGTTTGAGTATGCTGTGGAAGCCTTGTAACCCCCTTTACTGGACCAGAAAAATGCCCATATGAAATGTGAGAGCATATCATACCTCTCCTCAGCATTACCCTAATAAAACTGTAGCCTAAAACTTAAAATCACTTCCACTGTCAGGCTTTCATTTGCCTGCCCATCCTGAGCCATGAAGCGTTTGTTGGCCTTTTATTTGCATGTGCAATTTTAATTATTGGAGGAAAAAATACAAGAGAGAGCTTATGCTGCAACAGCAGTCTTCAGCTAACCCCTTATAGACTTGACAGAGCTTTGAGCTACTAATTGTCCAAGTGAGCTCATTGAAGAACTGAAGAGAGCTGTGCAGACTAAAACGCTGTAATTTCAGGGGAAAGAATTAAAACCCAGTGAGGCCATGCAAACACTTGATGAGCAAATGAGCCTCTGCTGATACTTGCTACATAGACTCTTAGCTGTCCTCTTCTCCAGCTAATTGTTTTGTTGAATCATCATAGAATACCAGGTTGGAAGGGACCTCAAGGGTCATCTGGTCCAACCTTTATTGCTGTAAGGATAGTCTAGACAAGATGGCCTAGTACCCTGTCCAGCTGAATCCTGGAAGTGTCCAGTGTTGGGGAATCCACCACTTCTCTGGGGAGATGATTCCAATGGCTGATTGTTCTCACAGTGAAAAAGTTTCCTCTTGCGTCCAATCAAATCTCCCCAGGAGTAATTTGTACCCATTACCCCTTCTCTTTTCAATGTGACTCCATCTTATTTGTAGCCACCCTTTAAATACTGGAACATGGTGAGAAGGTCTCCCCTAAGCTTTCCTTTCTCAAAGCTGAACAAACCCAGTTGTCTCAGCCTTCCTGATGCAGCAAGCTTCCCAGTCCTTTGGTCATCTTTGCGGCCCCTCTCTGGACCCCTCCAGCCTGTCCACAACTTTTTTATATAGCGGGGACCAGAACTGTACACAGCATTCCAGGTGTGGCCTGACAAGTGCTGAGTAGCGTAGGATAATGACTTCTTTATCTCTGCTGGTGATGCCCTGGCTGATGCAACCCAGTATCCTGTTGGCTTTCTCTGCCGCAGCAGTACACTGCTCACTTGTATTGAGCTTGTTGTCCACCAGGACCCCAGGTCCCTTTCCACAGAACTACTCCCCAGCTGGGTAGATCCCAGC